GATAAATGAAGGAATTTTTAAGCTAGTATGCCTAAGCAGGAGGCATAAGACTCAAAGGGTTTCTGGGGCAGCCAGTTTGAGAGTAAGTCTTATATAAATTTGAGATAAGCTTCTAGAACTTTCCAGAAATCATGGATGCTCTTCCAAACCTACCTTAGATTAATCTGGAAATTAATCTCTACCTCTACTTCAGAAATCAGAAAATCTTGAATTATTTTTGTGGACCAAACTGAAAGAGTTGGGTGAAATGTCCTTGCTCTCCTTATGGAAATCTTTTGTTCCAAACTACATGAACTTTCATACTTCCTTTCCTTAAATCAGTAACTTATAAGGAAGTTCTTCTTATGTCACCACTTTTATTCTCAAATACTCAGAAGCATTTGGAAAATAGGTGATATTAGGTTATGGAATTAGAAATAAATCAATTCAACATGGGAAACACAAAAGTACACAACTATTTTCAAACCAGCTCAGGAATTTCATGTAGAAGAGCATTGAATCTCCTACAGTTTTATAGGCTTTCTACTTCTCTGTACAGCACATGTAGTTGATACAAAAAGTATGAGAAAGGGAAAAAGTGTGCACATCTTATATTTCAGGGTTTTATATCTATGAAGGAAAGCCAATAAAGGAGATGGGAAATATTTCTAAATTAGACTGTTATTTTGAGACTGCAAATTAGATTTGATCTAAGAATTTTACAAGCATATCTTTAGCAATTGTTTGGGAGTGACAGCCTACCTGGCCAGCATTATTATTCCAAAAATGCTCTTGCTTTGGACAGGGTATTGCTAGGCTACAAGTGGCAAGGCCCTTTCTGGTTGCCAAGATGAAGTGCCTTCTACTCATCATTGAGTCTGTAGAAGATGGTGAATAATGAAATAAGTGCAATTTCAAACAATATTTGTGAGGGGCTCTGTCTAGGTCAGTAGTTCTCAACCTTTTTAATGCCGCGACCCCCAACCGGCCGTAAGTCGAGGACTAAACCGGTCGTAAGTCGAGGACTAAACCGGTCATAAGTCGAGGACTACCCAACTGGTCGTAAGTCGAGGACTTTCCCTGCCCGGGAGCGCCGCGCATGCGTGGTTCCGCTCCCTGCGCCAGTCGAGGTGTAGCTGGCAAGCGGCAGAGACGGAGCAGGCCAACCACCAGCTGGCCCAGCTCAAGGGAGGTAAGGCAACCGCCGGAAAAGGGGAAAAAAATGGCGGACAGCCTTGCTTGGTGACCCCCATAAAATGGTCGATCGACCCCAAATGGGGTCGCGACCCATAGGTTGAGAAACGCTGGTCTAGGTAATCCTTGATAAATGTCACTGCTGAAGAAGACCATAGCTGCAAGCTTTTATTTTATATTTTTTAATTTTTATAATTTTATTCATTTACAACATAAAATATGAAAATACAAAAGCAAATAATAAGGGGCAACAATGGGAAAGGGAAAATGAAAAAATGTGGAGAAGGGGAGGCGAAAAAACAAAAGACATTGACTTCCGACTCCCTCTGTTGCAGTAAAATAAGACTTTAAGATCGAATCTCAACTTTTTACATTTCTATAGTAGTATGAACTAACCATTTTTGTATCAACAAATCAATCTAATCAGTAAAACCCCAAATCATGGCATCATTTTTTTCCACCTCAAGCACAAAATCCAGAAACGCTTTCAAAGTATAAACAAAGTACCTACAATCTTTTATCAAAACAGTCAATTTAGCCATTTCTGCTAATTCCATCAGCTTTTGTAACCATTCACCCCATGGTGGGAATTGAAGCATTATTCCATTTTTGTGCATAGAGCAGTCCTGCTGCGGTCGCCATATATAAAATCAGAGTTCCGAAAAAAATTTCCAAGTCTTTTTCCATTAGACCCAGAAGGAAAGTTTCTGGTTTAATCTTTATGTTCACTTTAAGAATTTTTTGCATTAATGTATGAATCCTACACCAATATTTCTTTGCTTTATCACATGTCCGCAAGCTTTTATGATAGTAGAAGAAAATATTGATATATTGTCACTACTAAATAGCGTGTTTTGGAGGGTAAAGAATCACTTCCTCGCATAGTGTTTGGTTTGTGGTCTAGATGAGGAAAGCAAAGAAAACAAGGCTAGATCCAATTTCTCAATGTTATAATAACTTAAACTTGGTGTTAATAACATTTGCAATAATATTTTATTCAATATTAGCAAATATCTGTTGACATGGGGTTTTGTCTTTTTGTGCTGAACATTATAATTTTGCTCCCAAAAAGTACACTGTCTCTAAAGAAACAATGATGCACAAGTATTCTTTACCTCATTATACTGAAGCTATGTGCTGCAAATACAAGAGATATTGCAGGATGTACCAATTTCAATTCCTGTAACTGTTTCCCATTATTTGATGAATCTGGGCCAAATTAAACACAAGTATGAAACCAGTTTCTCCTTTCTCTCTAGATTTTTATATAAAATAAATGAAAAATAAACTAAGTAAGGAATGGTAGAGATTATCTCCTCCCAGTCTTAGGGTTTTTTTTGCCCAATGTCCTCTCATCTGTTCACTAGTTCTCTACCTCTAATATTCCCCCAAATATGGCTAAGCTAATGCAGAACAAATCCCATTTGTACAATTTTTTAGTTTTTCCGAAGTTGTCATCCTCTCATGACAGTTTCTCCACTTTGCTCTGACTGATAGCTTCCTCATATAAACAGGCATCTTGTTTTGCCTTGCCTTGCCTTATCTTATCTTGTCAGCTTATCTTGCCATCTTATCGTATCAGCTTGTCAGCTTACAAAACATTCATTCTAGCTGCACTTATTTTTTGGGGGTGTCTTACCTTAGGACCACCACAGCCAGGCCTCCCACACCCCGACACCTGTCATGCCGCTGCCTTTTTCAGCAGCCAATTGCCGCCACTTGCAGCTGGACGCCATGTGGTGCGTTGCACCATTACCACACTAAGGGGTAGGGGGGGTGAAGCTGCCCCACATGCCCCATACCCACTTACTTTACCAGTAGGACCACTGCAGCCAGGCCTCCCATGCCCCAACACTTGTCAAGCAGTGTGGCTCATCACGCCAGAGTCGCCACTCGCAGCAGGAGGTTGCACAGTGCTTCGGGCCATTGCTGTTACTCACAGCAAGAAGCCGAGTGGCTCTTCAGGCCATTGCCATTGCTTGCGGCAGGACACCGCATGATGCTTCAGACCGTTTCTGCGGATGTGGGGCTCATGGGGCAGCTTCACCCCCCACCCCCACCCTTGCCCCCAAACTAGGGCTTATATTAGGCCCACCCCCGAAAGTAAGCTGGGGCTTACTTTCGGGGGGGGGCTTACTTTCAGGGAAACATGGTATGTAAAGGATAATTTAAGATAGGCCACTGTTCAGCAATCACAAAGTGTAGCTCCCATATTTGATGGATTTTCTTTCATCCTTTCCTTTTTTGCCTATCAAAAAGGCATTGGTCACTTTCATGCACCAGTCAGTCAAGTTCACTTATTTTGGCTATCTTGTGCTCTCTACTCTGGGATAGATTAGGTTGACAGTTGTTGACATTGATGGTTTACTCTATTGCCTGTGCTAAGAATAGAATAGAATAGAATAGAATAGAATAGAATAGAATAGAATAGAATAGAATTCTTTATTGGCCAAATGTGATTGGACACACAAGGAATTTGTCTTTGGTGCATAAGCTTTCAGTGTACATACAAACAACAAGTGATAAATCATGATTATAATCATCATAAGATACATTCATCAGAAATCATAAGATACAACACTTAGTGATAGTCATAGGATACTAATTAAGCAATCAACATAAATCATACTAGGATACTAAAAAAAACAATAGAAATCATAAGATACAAGCAATAAAGCTATAGTCATAAGAGGATAAGGAAATAGGTAATAGGAAAATGAGAAGAAGAATAGTAATACAGCTCTACTAGGTAGTTTGACAGTATTGTGAGAATTAGTTTAGCAGAGTGATGGCTTGCAGGGGGGGGGCGACTTTCCTTGTGTCTAGTTGTTTTGGCATGCAATGCTCTATAGTGTCTTGAGGGGAAAAGTTGAAATAATTTATGTCCAGGATATGAGGTACATATTTTCACAGCTCTCTTTCTGGATCATGTAGTATACAATCCTCAATGGAAGGCAAGCTGGTAGCAATTGTTTTTTCTACTGTTCTAACTGTCCATTGAATTCTGTGTCTGTCTTGTTTGGTTACAGTGCCAAACCAGACAGTTATAGAGGTGCAAATGACAGACTCAGTAATTCCTTTGTACAACTATATCAGCAGCTCTTTGGGCAGTCTGAACTTTCTGAGTTGGCACAGGAAGAACATTCTTTGTTGTGCTTTTTTTTTTATGACATTTGTATCCATTTTAAATTCTGAGATATTATAGAACCTAGAAACTTGAAGGTCTCTACTCTTGATATCGTGATTTCTAGTATTGTAAGAGGTGGTAGAATAAGAGGATTTCTCCTAAAATCTACTATCATTTCCACAGTTTTGAGTATGTTCGGTTCAAGATTGTTCCGGCTACACCACAAGGCTAGTTGTTCAACTTCCCGTCTGCACGCGGATTCATTGTCTCGAATGATACATTCAAATATCAATACAATGTATGTATCCACATTGTAATCACAAGAATATCACTCCAGTCCAGTCGATTATGTCCGCAGGGGCAAAAACTTTTGAGGCATGATATTGTAAGAAAGGAAACATCCCCTCCCGCAGTCTGCAAATAAATGAAAGCTGCCTCCTTCAAATCCGATCCCTAAAAGGTCTTTTTCCCTGGTTAGGTGAACGCTGTGCACAGTTCAAAAACAGGCTTCGTGTATTTTTAAGCAACGATTGGGGAAATTTTGGGGGGAAACATAGTTCGCTGTTTCTACGGGTTCAGTGTACGATTGACTTACGCATGCGGTGTATTTGCACAGGCTGCGTGTGTGTTTAGTGGAGGCGGGGCTGATTTACCGAGATAGAAACTGCAGACAATTTTTTTTTTCTTTTTGAAATGTCCGTACTTGCCCGTTCAGCGTCCAGCCTTCAAATTTTCTTCTGCAGTTTCGTGTGCCCCGGATTGCCGAGAGAGCGAGCGAGCGAGCAAAAGTGTTGTGAAGACTTTTCCCTGCAGCCTCCGAAGTTGTTTGAAGAAAAAGAAGAGCGATCTAACGGGGAACTTAAAAGAGTAACTTTAAAGCTTTTGTTTTGGCGCGGGACAGACGAGCGGAGAGGGAAATTGCCGTTGTATATTTTTGACTCGGGATTTTATCTTTCTTTTGCACCACCGCAAGTCCTTTTTTAAAGATCGAAACTTTTTGCCCTTCCCTTTTTAGAAAGAGATTGTACGGCTGCATGAGAAGGCGCAGGCGCTCAATTTATAGCTGCTGTTACACAGCCTCCCCGAGGTAAGAGGAATGTGGGAAAAATAAGGAATTGTTCCTCCTCTAAGAGCTTTGTGACCACAATTTCCAGCAGGCCCGGACCCCGTGGCCTTTGGTTCTTCAGCAGGGAGAGCCCTGCCTTCTTTGCCAGTTGGCTGAAATACCTTTTATTTTAAGGGATTGAGGCTTAAGGGATTGATAGCATATTTCGAAAGAAAACCCCAGACTATTAAGAAGGTAAATGGGGAGGGAACTTAAAATAAAGACTTGATGGTCCCACGTCTTCCTGTAAAACAGCGTTTTTCAAACTTGGGAGTCCACACCTCTTAAAGTGGCCAAGTTTGAAAAACTGCTATAAAGTGAACTAGTGCCATTGTAAATCAGTATTTAGCCCCAAGAATAATCACCTATGAGTAAAGAGGTGCATAAGTTGGTGTCCTAATTGGAAGTGGTTCAGTGCAGGGTTTAAGTGAGGGCTGAGATTGGATCTATAATGCTGGGTTCCCTCTGGAAGTTGGGGGTGTGTTTGTTTCCAAGGTCCATTGGATACTTTTCTGGTAAGATTGTATTTCATTTTTCTACTGAAAGAAAACACGTATCTGTTTGTTCACTGGTTGTTGCTGCTTAACTCTGGGTCAGGGGTGTCAAACTCGCCATGTCACATGACGTATCGCGATGTATTGCAACTTTTTCCCCATTGCCAGAGCTGGGGTGGGTGCAGTTTCGGCATGACACATCCGGCCCATGGGCCGGCAGTAGTTTGACACCCCTGCCCTGGGTTGTGATTTCCACACAACAATGGGTTAATATCACATATGCATCAGACATTTATTAGCTTCATGGGTTTATTGAAACCTTGGCAACCCACACTTTTAACCCTTATTCAGTTGACAGCAGACTGTTCTCATCTGCCTCTAAAGCAGATTGAGGTTAAAAGAGTCAAGATGGCGGCTACCGCTGTGTGATTGAAGTATGTGCTCCAATATCACAAGCACAGATGAACGGATTGGATGGTCTTGGGCAGTGTCTTCACCTTTTTTATTTTTGTAATTTGTAAGCTGGTTTGATTTGGGCTTAGGTTACTAATACATCAAGATACTATTGGTAGTGAACCTTGATTTAAGATGCATAAATCAGATGTGTATGCCTTGATAAACAGGTAGCATTTTTCTTCTTCTTTCACAATCTGCTCACTAATGTAATAGTTAAAGGAAAATTTGCTTTTTAAAGAAAAAACCACCCCTCTCAATAGGTGTGGAAGGTATGGCAGGGATAATAGTGTAATTTATAATGTGCCTGACAATAGAGGCTGTCTGTTGAACAGTAGGTTATGTTGAACTTGGCCAGGGACCAAAGAAAAATGGATTGGAACACTAATTTCTAGCATTCTATAGCCAGAAGGGCATTCAGTTTGCTAGGAATTCTGGGAGTTCTGTTTCCAACCAATCAGGAGAAACTTGGGTTAGGAATGGAAGAAATAGGGCATCTCTCTTCCAGCTCACATTAGACTTATTTAAATGAATATTTAATTACCTTTTGGGATAAGTTCCTTTGAAAATGTTCTCATTGGAGTAGCTAACATTTTGCAACTTTTTGCAGCTCTCTTAATCCTTTTCGAATGCTATTTTGTAGTGTTTTATTGCCCTTGCCAGAAACTCTGTGCGCTTCATTTGCATACAAATCATCCCCAGGGAAAATGGCAATGGACAGAATCCAGGTACTACTGATGATTAACAGCACTGAAAGGTAGGAATAGAACGTGGCAAGGGTATATGATAGGGTAGCCCAGAGCAAAATCCTACAAGCCAACCTCCATAGCTTCACCACAGATAAGAATAGCCATTTAGGCTACCAGATAACTAAACTGTTTATGTAGGAATATTCAAAGAAAAGAATGTAAGGAGGAAATGTTTAAATGTATGCATACTGATTCACACAAGCAGGACCTATATATAAAAAGAACACTGGAGCTTCTGGTGAAACAAAGAGAGGAACTTAAAACAAATGTCAAACAATTCAAAAGACTTTTGTATGGGTAATGTAGGGTTTTTTTCCCTTTTATTTTCAGAATTGAGCAGAGCTCTTCCGTGCACTTGCCACCTGTGAGAAAACAGGATGTGCTTGTCCCTGCTTATTCCTGATCCTCAGAGCAATAAAATTAACCGCAGGTCTATCGTAGCAGGTGGCCCGGCTTGAAACATTTTTCAAAATGCTTTTATTTTCATTCTATTTCTCCCCACTTCTGCCTTAGCACTGCAATTACACACCAAATCAAAGAAGAGAGGAAATAGACATTAAGACAGACTTTGTTCATGGGGAAAAATCATATGGTTGAAAAGAGTTTCTGATTTAGCACTCTTTAGGCTTAAACCATTTTATATCCATCATTTATAATGAAATTTACTAATAAAAGGACAAAAGAAAAATGTTTGTTCCTTCTGATTAGAGGAGCTTGGTGAATGAAAGATTTGCTCTTAAGTCTCTATACAAAAGTAGCTTTTCAGCTAATTTGCAGAAGTACAGTTTTATACATGCATCTGGGAAATATGAGAGATTGATACATTTTGTAAATTGAACCATGTACTTCGATCTCCAAAAGAAACATGGATATAAGGGATGTAAATGAATATGTTTCTATTAGGTTTTCTCTTTTCTGTGCAAAAGAAAACATGACTGACTTTTGGAAAGAACCAAACAATGTTATCAACTTTTTAAGTACAAACTTCTTTAAACATTACAGATAGTTAGCTTCATTGTACATTTGAGATATAAATAAACATCAGGAAAATTACTTTCTATCTCAGTTGTTTAATTAGCACTGAATCATTTTCTGCTCTAATAATAAAATATTTCAAAAAAGCCAACTAGAAAATAGTAGGAAATCCAGATATCAAAGGGAGCAAAAACATAAATATAAGTCTCCAAAACAAAAGATGTAAAGGATGCAGATCAGAAATGTCTAAGGCCTGAAGTCTGCAAAAATCAGGGCCAAACAGAAAGTTGAGTAAACGCACTATAAGCATTTTTTAAAATTGAAGATTAACAAAAATGGCATTTATATATTGATAATTATTTTCTTCCTATTTACAACAGTTCATTTAGTGCCCATTCAAAGTTACAACAGCACTGAAAAAAGTGACTTATGACCGTTTTGTACACTTATGATCCTTGCAGCATCCCTAGGGTCAGGTGATCAAAATTCAGACTCTTGGAAACTGACTCATATTTATGATGGCTGCAGCGTCCTGGGATCCTGTGATCATTTTTAATGACCTTTAATGACAAACAAAGTCAATGGGAAAACCAGATTCACTCTAACAACTATGTTACTAACTTAACAACTGCAGTGATTCACTTAACAACTGTGGCAAGAAAGGTTGTAAAATGGAGCAAAATTCATTTAACAAATGTATCGATTAACAACACAAATTTTGGGCTCAATTGAGATTGTAAGTTGAGGACTACCTGTAGTGTGATTTATAAAAGTGGAGATGAAGCCGTGGGGAACTCCTGGTCGGAAAGCCTTTTTGTCTCTGGCACGTGCTGGGTTCCTGCATTCTTGTCACTGGGATCTGGGGCATTGGAGGATAGTCAGAAGGTGGTAGAACAGAATCAATAGGCTCATTTTCACGAGCTGCTATTGAAGTTGTAGGTTTGCATATTCCTTCACAGAAATGGATTTTGATAAGGATGTCCTTCTTTTTTTTTTTTTTATTTGGATAAGAAAATAAACCCAAGAAATATAGCACCACCCTTAAAGAAAGTTATTAGAATAATGGCAACTCCTAAATTAAAAAAAATATGTTACTGAAAATACAAAGGCTTTTAACCTGTATAAATTGATTAAAATATAGCATCTCAAAACTGACATTTTTGATACTTAGCTGTGCCATACTTATTGGAAAGCTAAACCGAAACGAGATGATATCTCCTGACTGTTGAAAAGAGGTAGCAGCTTCTTCTAGCTAGAAGCAGATGTTGGCCTCTGGAGACTACAAAGGTCGTTGGAAATTGAGTTAATTATTTTTATTTGGGGAAGGGGAAAGTGAATAAATTAATTTTTGGGAGGAGGGACTATTATCCAGTGCTTTCCCATCTAAAAACTAAAAGCTACTTACACTTTTATTATAAAATATAGTATTTTTATAGTAACCAGACTAGAAACCTGGAGATTGTAAATTCTAGTCCTGCCTTAGGCACAATACCACTTGAGTGATCTTGTGTCCTCTCATCTCTTATTTATTTATTTGTATCTTGCCTTTATTATTTGTACAAATAACTCAAGGTGACGAACGTATCAAACAACCTTCCTCATCCTATTACCCTCCCCACAACAGCAACAATCCTGTGAGGTGCATTGGACCAAGAGTCACTGGCCCAAAGTCACTCAGCTGACTTTCATGGTTAAGGCTAGTTTTGAACTCACAGGCTCCCACTTTCTAGCCTAGTGCCTTAACTACTAGACCAGGGGTAGGCAACCTTGGCTCTTTCATGACTCGTAGACTTCAACTCCCAAAATTCCTGAGCCAGCCATGCTGAAGGACAGGGAGAGGTTTCCATGCTGAGCCATGCTGGCTCAGGAATTCTGGGAGTTGAAGTCCACGAGTCATAAAAGAGCCAAGGTTGCCTACCCTTGTACTAGACCAAACTGGATTTCTTAATCTACATCTAAGAAGAAGGAATCAGCAAACATCTTATGCAGGCAGTTGCTAGGATTCCTGAATGACTTGAAGAATTTTTTTGGATTTACATATAAATGAACATTATTTGCAGGAAAAAAATGCTAACCCTTTGCTGGAATTTTGTGGTTGTCTATATTTTTCAGCTGAGATCTAGAAGCCCTACAAGGTTCATGGTCCTGCATAGATTAGTAAAATAAAGCTAAAAATTACAAAATGTTTCAAATCCTGTAACCTTAAACAGGAATATTGTCTGTTTGTTCTGTCATTCATTCTTCCTCCAACTTCTCTAGGGTATTTGATTTACTTGATAGCTTTTTGCTTTTCACCAAATTAATTGCTTGCAAGTACATTCGAATTAATAAATTGTGGTTTGCATTAGTATATCGAAGTAGCATCACTTGTATAGATCATGATTTAATGGTTTTTATTCCTGATTTCTGAGCTTGTACAAATCTAGACTGAGGCGACAAATATAAAAATATGTTTTCCCATTTAATTTAAATTTAATTTTTCTTTTGTGTTTATTGAAGTAAAAAAATGGAGGGAAACATTCCTAGTCAGATATCTTGTCTCGGCATTCGTGTTTTCATTTTTCCTTGGAAGCAAGTGGGAACAGGATAAAGACTATTGCAGGAAGAGGAAAGTCAGCTGAGGACCTTACAGTATCTTATAGTTATTGATTATTGATTGATTGATACAGCTACTGAGCTCTATTTTCATTAATATGGAGATGTTTGGCAGTGTCAAAGTTTTATGACATTTGCTTTTAAAGTGGTTGAAAAGCTAAAATAGCAGGGCTCTTTTGACTGCCTATTGCCACAAATCATTTCTAATATGCCAATATTCTGTTTTCTCCACAGTTTAAAATTTTAATATTTTTGAATTTGCTGTTCAAACATCATCACATAGGTTGATTATTCTTTTCATATAAAGTAATGTAGCCCAAATACATGTGCAGACTCTGGGAACAGAGATAAATAGGGATATTGGAATTATATTTTCTGATTCAAAATTTTTTGGAAACCCCACATCTATCAGTACATTGCATTTACCTCCTCCTTGCATTAAACTGAGTGAGAATATTTACAGAGGAATTGAAATTTTGTTGTACAGGTAGTCCTCAATTAACGACCTCAATTGATCCCCAAATTTCTCTTGCTAAGCACATTTGTTAAGTGAATTTTGATCGATTTTATGACCTTCCTTGCCACAGTTGTTAAGTGAATCACTGCAACTGTTACGTTAATAATACAGTTGTTAAGTGAACCTGGTTTCCCCATTGACTTTGCTTGTCAGAAGGTCACAAAAGGTAATCACATAATCCTGGGACACTGTGAGTCAGTTGTCAGGTATCTAAATTTTGATCATGTAACCATAAGGATGCTACAATGGTCATAAGTGTGAAAAACAGCCATAAGTTACTTTTCAGTGCTTTTCTAACCTTGAACGGTCACTAAACAAACTGTTGTAAGTCGAGGACTACCTGTACTTGTAACTTCTGGGCCAAATGTTTGAAAACTGAGAAATACTTTCTTCATTAATAGTGATGAATGATGCTAACTTAATTTATATCTTCTGAATTGACAGAGGAATAATAAGTGGTAAAGATTAATATAAATAAGATATCAGGCTATGGCATATGTAAGAGATGACTTGGAGTATAAGAGGAGTAAATAGTAAAGAGCACATAATAAAGAGCAACAAAGATAATTAGGGGACTGGAGCCTAAAACATATAAGGAACGGTTGCTGGAATTGGGTATGTCTAGTTTAACGAAGAGAAGGACGAGGGGTGACATGATAGCAGTGTTCCAATATCTCAGGGGCTGCCACAAAGAAGAGGGAATCAAGCTATTTTCCAAAGTGCCTGAAGGCAGGACAAGAATCAACGGATGGAAACTAATCAAGGAGAGAAGCAACCTAGAACTAAGGAGAAACTTCCTGACAGTTAGAACAATTAACCAGTGGAACAATCTGCCTCCAGAAGCGGTGAATGCTCCAACACTGGACATTTTTAAGAAGAAACTGGACAGCCATTTGTCTGAAATGGTGTAGGGTTTCCTGCCTGAGCAAGGGGTTGGACTCGATGACCTCCAAGGTCCCTTCCAACTTTATTACTATTACTACTATTACTATTACATATTAATAAATAAAATGAAAGTATGACATACAGTCACTATATTATGATCGGTGGCAATCCATAGATCTGTAATATTTCTGTTAGCTCAACAGGATAGACCAGACTAAAAAACAATGCCATATGTAGTGAGGACAACTTTTAATGTAACAGCTATAGTAACAGAGTCGGGCAAATCTGAATGTCTTTTTCCCTCCCTCCCTCCCTCCCTCCATCTTCATATGAAGTAGAGAGAGGCTTTTTGAGATGTTTTCTCAAGTTATTTTCTTAGGCCAAACTCCAAACCCATTTACCTGATCATTGTGGCCATTCCTCTTGTTTTTCAAGGATGCCCTCCCTATGCCCACTAGAGTTCTAACAAACAGTGATAAGAGGAATAAACAGATAGGAGTTTGGGGGAAGATTATATATGAATAAGACCCAGGGAGAAATTATTCTGTTAGGTGACATCAATTGATGTCTGTGACTGAGATGAGTCAGAATACTAAAAATAATAATAATATAAAATAAAAGATTAGGCCATCTACAAATCCAGAAATGAATGAGAATGGTGACTGGGTAAACATTTTATTCTGTAGAAATAGAACAAAATTACAGTAACCACAGACAGAGAAAATAGAACTCCCGGATTAATAATAGAAGGTAGTTTAATCTCTCTTGATAGAATAAATGGAAAATGGGCATAAAGAAAGAGACTAGGCCTGAAAATTACTGTCTCAAACATCAAGGTGCATGTAGTCCTTGCTTAACAGTAATCAGGACTAGAATTTCTGTTGCTAAGCGAAGTGGTCATAGGGGCAGTGTTACATGACTGTGCCACTCAGCAATGGCAATATTGGTAATCTCCAGTTGCTGTTATTAAGTGAGGACCACATAGGTTGCTAATGACTTCCAACTTCCTGCCACCTTCCCTGTTGACTTATGCTTGTGCAAAGCTGGCAGGGAAGGTTGCAAATTGCAGACACTGCGGCAGTAAAAAAATATAGGCCAGTTGCTGACTGCTCAGATCATGATCATGTGACTGCCAGGACCATGTGACAACTGAAACTTTGAGGACTGGTTGTAACTACCATTCTTCAGTGCTATAGTTTGAATAGTTGCTGCACAATTGTGGTTGCTAACCAAGGACTTTCTGTAGTTGGATTTGATAGATCAAGCAGAGTGGACTGTTGCAAATTACACTCTAACAAAACAGTAGAACAATTGATTGATTACATGCCATTAAGTCAGTGTTTACTCTTCACAACCATATAGGTAGAATTTCTCCAGGATGATCCGTCCCTAATTTGATCCTTCAGGACTTCTGATGTAGGTTGTTTATAAAAATGGGAAAGTACAAATGCTGATAGAACAGAAATGAGTAGTATCTGGTCTATGGCGAGGAATGAATTTTGAAAGAAGTGAAAGTGTCTGTGTATAAGAGCTTGCATTGGCTCTTTTTATTATATGGAAGTGAGAGTTGGATATTTTAGAAGAAGCATTAAGTCAGTAGAATGCACGAGGAATGGATTACTTAAGATGAGTGTATGGCTAAATAAGAGATGACAAAGTTTAGAATAAACTGGACAGCCCAGTCCCTTTTGGGTCACCATTTCAGAGATATTTCCTTACCTAAACAAAGAAACAGAATGACCAAGGACAGGTAAAAAAGTTGTGGGAGTCAGAGGGACTTCTGACTTCCTGCTGGTTTCCCCATTGAGTTTCCTGGTGGGAATCTGGCATCAGAAATGGCAGAAATTCCCTTCCTTTGTAGTAGGCAGCTAAGTGGCTGCTGATGGGTGGGGAAGGGGGTGAAGGAAGTCAAAACTAGCTGGGGAACTGTCATGGAATATTGAAAATTAAGATCACATGACTACAGCAAAAGCATAGCAGCTACCAGTAGCACTGAAGTAGCCACAATTTGCCCAAATTTCATGCCCTCAGGAGTCATGGGTCCCAGGTTGTGGATCACATTCTGTAAATTAGCCCATTTGAGTTATCCTGGTTCAAAAATGCTTGCTCTGTGATGCAGCATTTTGCCAGGTTAAAGGTCATGACAAGAGTTTTAGTGAAGACAGAGGCACATTGAATACAAAATTAGGAATGAAACAAGCATACTGAGGTGGTTTTATCATGAAGGCATGATGTTGAGATTTCAGGGGAAATATGTGAAAAAAAAGTGAACAGGTTGAGAAAAGGAAAAATGAAAAAAAATATAATTGGATAAGATTCATGTGAACCTGAAGAAGAGAAAGGATAAAACTTGAACCAAAAGCTGTATGAAGAAAGAAGCAAATACAGTATTCATGTATAGAAAAAAGTATGGGAAGACTTAGTAAATTACAGCTAGGAAATTAGCTATAATTTCCTTACTTCATGCTTTATTTCTTGGGTTACTGCTTACTCCAAAAGAGAATTGTGTCTGTCTGTTTATCTATCTTTATGTACACAGTACATTCAGAAAGGAAACATTCATTTTAAATAACTACTTTTTCCTTTCAGGAAAATGAAGAAGCTTTTGAGGTGCTGGACATGCTTGCCTTTCATCCTTTGCACTATCCCAACTAATTGTGGATCAACTCAGGATATCTGTAAAATCACAGATAAAATGGCAGACTGCACTCATTTAAAACTGTCTCAAATTCCCTCCAGTCTCCCAACTGACATAACAGCCTTGGATATTTCACATAACCAGCTGAGAACACTGCCACCTAAAAACCTTACGAAGTACAATCAGCTCATATATTTAAATGTGGGATTCAATTCCATCTCTAAACTAGAGATGCACTTGTGCCTCAGTTTACCTTTGTTAGAGGTACTGAGGCTGGAGCACAATCAGTTGCATATATTACATGGAGACGTTTTTACTTCCTGTACCAATCTGAGAGAGCTTAATTTGGGATTCAACTTCCTGAATGCAAAAAATGATCTTTTCAAAAATCTGAAGGTAAGTCCAAGCTTTGACCTGCTATTTTGTAAGTCCATAGGATTGAAGGTTCTACAACATTAAGGTTAGCGTGACATGACCATATGTGAATATGACTTGACTGAGTTATACTAGCATTGTCTCCCTAAATAATAATTCTTTTGACTGATATTGATTCTCCAGCTTTTTTGATGGAGCTATTTCCTGGAAGAAGAAAATATCTCTTTAACAGAAATGGGTTTAATGCCTTCTGTAAACCCTCTAATTTTTTGCTATTTAGTGATAGAAGAGTTTATGTTTATTGTTCTCAAATGTCTCCTTTTATCCATTGTTTTCTTGTCCCGTGCTTCTTGTTGTTTCATATCGTGCATGATTGGCATATAGATATGCTGCCTGTTCTGAGTCAGAATTAGAATTGTGTACATAAATGAAGATAAACATACTTGTATGGGATGTGTAAGTATTAAATATGACATTCCCTTGTGTTTATACTGCAAAGTATAATTATACCTAAGGACAGTATATCGTACGATTAAAGACGTCTCAACGAAGAGACCTTAAGACATGAACGATAGATTTAACTACGTCTAACCTTTGACTACGAAAAGACGAAGGTTGACAGTAAGACCTTTGGTGAAGGATCGTAAGAATGACGTAGTCATAAGATTAAGATTTATTTCCTGAATTTTCCCAGGGGGGGGGGATTTTGGTGATTTAGTTGTTCACAAATTCAGTCATAGTCTTTGTAGAACAACCGAGCAGAAATACACTGAACATTAATGATGCAATCAAAAAACAATGATACAAAATGGTAGAATGAAATAAGTTATCTTACAATAAATCTGTGAGATTGTTGCTGGTTGAACTCTCCTCTGGCCTCGTATCACCTTTTTTCAATCTAGTATCTACCAGGTCTGCTGGGTCTGCAGTTCACAATTCCAAAACACCTGAATGTTTCAACTTATATATGGTCATCTTAGATTTTGTTTTCCTTGACAACATATTAGGCATTCCACAAACTTAGTCATTTCATGAAAAAGTAGTAAACCAGTAAGAAGATATAAGTGCAGTTTACACTAAAGGTTCACAGCAAAGGAAAGGGATTCTAGGGTAACACTGGCTGTTGCCAAGGAAAGGGGTTCTATATGCAATTATCTTAAGCATATGATAATTGTCATACTCAAACATAGGCTTCTTAAACTTCTCACTATGTAGGGCTTTCCAGTGGCTTATTTTGAAGAGTTGGTTTACCATACCAGTATAGCAAATGAGATTTAGATGCTGAGAAAAGATGTAATCACAATGACACATAGGATCATTATAAAAATAATATTATTAACAAGAAAATAAGCTGGGTGTGTGTAAAAACACACAAACATATATACATGCCACTGAGAGTCTGTGGATTTCAATAGGGTAGAAATGTGGAAATCAAAGTAAAAATTTGACTCTCGGGTACATTCATTATAAGACAATAAATAACACTGATCACCAAGAGAGTAATTAGAAGTATTTAAAAGCATCTAAAAGCATGGGTCCGATTACACGTTCGCACAGCCAGATGCAGGCACTTAGAGGCTGCATATAGGTTCCTCCCAGAACCACCTTTTCTGAACCCTGACGATGTCGGGAGTGCCCGACGAAAGCTCGGTTACTTTGTATTTTAGTTAATGTTTTTAAATGCTTTTAATGCTTTTAGATGCTTTTAGATGCTTTTAAATATATATATATATATATATATATATATATATATATGTTTTTTGAGGTTTTCACGGGTGTTTATATGTGAGTCTTTGGTCATTCGGGTTTTCTCCCGTGTAAGATTAGAAGTATCATAGCGACGTTTCGATGAAATCACATTCATCATCATCAGGCTTGTGCTTTTAGCTTTGTGCTTCTCAGTGTAATATGAAATGTC